TCCACGTACTTCTTCACATCGTCAAGCATGTTGGGCCACCAGAATCGCTGTACTAAGTTAGCACTAGTCTTCTTATAACCGAAGTGTCCCATTGCATCGTGGCACTCACCTAAAAATAAACTACGCAAAGCTTCCCTAGATGGAACAACTAACCTCTTGAACCCTGCCTTCTCAAGAAAGAGCAACCCATCCACCATCACAAATTCATCAGTGGTGACCTTATCTTTAGCCTGTAGTTTGTTGATGATGTCCATCGTGATGGGATCTTCCTTGTAGACTTCATCCAACGATCGAGTCACGTCCTCAGACAAACCAAACTCATAAATCAGCGCACCTAGGTAATCTGCCCTCCTAGACAACTCATTTGCAACCTTGTTGTACTCTCCCTTCAAATAGTCTAGTTTGAAATCATATTGATCTATGACTTTAATCCAGCGTTTGAGTGCATCGGAGAGAACTGGTTGAGTCTTGATCCACTTGAGTGTTTGATGGTCAGTTCTCAAGTAGAAGAACCTTCCTAACAAGTAATGCCTCCAGTGGACAAGTGCCTTGTAAAGAGCGTAGAGTTCCCTCTCATAGGTGGACTTTGCCAACTTCTTTGAAGGCATCTTTTTGCTCATGTACTCGATCGGTCTCAACTTCTTCCCTTCCTGCTAAGCCAGCATTGCGCCAATCCCATATTGGCTTGCGTCAATGGTTACAACGAATGGCCTTTGCGGGTCGGGTACCATGAGAACCTCATGATGTGTGAGAGCATGCTTCAAACGCTTGAAAGCTGCCTCACACTCGTCGGTCCAGTCCCATGGTGTGTCGAGTCGAGTTAGATCAGTCAAGGGAGATGTGATCGTGCTATAATTCTTTATGAAATTGCGGTAATAACCACACATTCCCAAGAATGATCTGACCTCAGTCACTGACTGGGGTCGTGGCCAGTCACGTATGCTAGCCACCTTAGCATCTTCGGGCCTAATCCCATCCGTGGATACTTCATGACCCAAGTACAAGATTCGAGTGCGACCAAACTCGCATTTCTCTGAGTTTATCTCATACTTGTGCTGCCGAAGGAGTGAAAATACTATGTCTACATGTTGAGCATGCTCCTCGACAGATCTACTGAAGATAAGTATGTCGTCGAGGTACACGACAACAAACTTGTCTAAGTAGTCACGGAAGATCCTATTCATGGCGTGCTGGAATGTACCCGACGCATTGCAAAGGCCAAAAGGCATCACCACAAACTTGTACAGACCGTACCTGGTCTGAAAAGCGGTTTTGTGCTGGTCCTCTGGTCTTATGGCAATCTGATGGTAGCCGGATTTTAAGTTTATCTTTGTATAGTACTTACACCCCTGCACCCTATCCAATAGGTCGTCGATGCGTGGTAGAGGCTCTGCGTTCTTAACGGTGATGGCATTGAGGCCTCTATAATCAATGCACATCCTTAGTGTTCCCCCTTTCTTTGGAACAAACAATACCGGTGAGCCATAGGGGGAAGTGCTAGGCCGAATCCAACCCTTCTCTGTGAGCTCTTTCAGTTGCCGCCGAAGTTTGTCCCTTAGGTGTTTTACTTCCTGGGATAATCTCTATGGCATGGACAATCTCCCTGTCTACGACTGATGTAGGCTCCTCGAACAGATCTGGATACTTGGCGACGATGGTCTCTATCTCTGGGGGTGTTTTAATGGCCTCCTCTTTTGCAGAGACATAGACTAAGTATATTCCTTCCTCTTGGTTCTGTTTATAATAGTTATAAAAGGCCGATGCGCATAAGCACCCATAAGAGTCTACTAACCTACTGGCTTTGTATTTGGCCAGTCTCACGGTTTTCCCACTAGGCAACTCGTGCGTCAACACCTTCTTGTCACGGTCAAACTGGGGCTTGGCAACCTCGAGGTAGTACATGCCCAATAACATGTCAAAGGGCAACTCGTCGCTCACTAGGAATGATATCTTGTGGTTTATCTCTCCTCCTGGGTAGGAGAAGGTGCAGACTACATCTTTAACGTAGTCCTCCACCATCATGCGCTCTTTGTTGGCCAAAGTAGATGCTATCGGTCTACTAAGGCGCTGCACCCGGTCCTTTAGGCACAGTCTGTCAATGCAGTCGCGACTTACGAAGTTTCGCGTGGAGCCAAGGCGCCGCACTTGCGACCACCCGCATCAACTTCCACAACGAAGTGCTCCCCTCTAGGACCTCTACTCAGTGCCACCCACGACTCACGATGGTCTTGCCGATCACTCACCTTGAAGGTCCTCTAAGGCCTCAGACACATCCAGCGTACTGAGTATAGTTGGGTCCGGATGCGTCTGTGGAATGACTAAGGAGTCAATCGCTTTGGCCATCTCTTGAAACGGGGAGGGTACATCACCCGCTTCAACGAGAGTAGAAGCAGCTATAACTTCTACTGGCCCTAAGTGTTTCCCGAGTTGGAGCTCGTAGAGGCCCCAGATTGRGAAGAAGAGAACCCACCCTTAGGAGGTATCTTCTGCGAGACCTTCAGGTTTTTGCACTTAAACTGTATGTCCGTACTCACCGCAGTTAATGCAAGCACCACGACTCCAACGGTCCCACCACACTTCTTGATCCAGACCTGCTCTAACCCAAGCAGCTATTTTGTTTGGGTTAGCGGCCTGCCCCTGACTCCTTTGTTGACCGCCCTTGTCGCGGCTAGCTGCCTTAGTCTTGACTACGGCGGCGAGGTTGCTACCCTCAGCACTCTCCTCGCCGTCAAACTCTGAACCCTCCACAAGATCAGAAACATCATCGATCTCGGTTTAATTCCCATCGGAATCAACCATCATCATCTTCCACTCTTGTGGGGACTCTTCTTCTTTCTCCCATCCGTAGAAGGGGTTTGAGCTCCACCCAATGTAGCCTCTAAGTCTAGGGCCTTCTTGCTGAATGACTCAAATGTGTGATACTCGCGTCGAGCCTCGCTGGCTAATAAACTCCGAATGTCTGTGGGAAGACATCTCAGGAACATGGTCAGCAAGACCTGTGGATTGTGCTCCACTCCCGGGACGACGATCAGGCGCTCTACGACTGTGGTAAGTTCTCGCACAGACTTGTACTTTCTAGTATCAAGCTTTAAGAGCCCATCGGTGGCAATCTGTGCCTGTTGAGGGTTGTGCCAACGAGCCTCCAATAAGTCCATAAAGCTTTCTAGTGTGTGGGTCTGCGCCCAATCATGCATGTTCCTGCCGAAGCCCTTTGAAGCAACTAATCCGTTTAGCCAACGGGCTGTTGAACCCTCTAAGTAGGATGCAGCAGTAATCACCTCCTCTTCTACCAATGTCCTCTTTGCCCTTACCCACACTGGCACCGTTCTTAATCATGTGTCGAGAGCCTCATCGTTCTTATCTCCTGAGAAGGTTGCAGGTGGGTTCAGTGGGGTCTTGGGGTACCAAGGATATTGCTGTCCCTGTTGTGAGACAGGTGGCGACTGTGGTGTAGCAACAGTCGCTGGACCAGAAGATGAAGAAGCAACAGTTTGAAATAGGGCTACTGTTGATGATACACTTGGTGTAGACTGAGCGGCATAGAGGCCTATCATCGCTGAGAGTGGCAGCGATGGTAAAGCTGCTGGCCTGATCCCTGGCTTGTGCATAGCATTCAGGATCTGGTCCAAGGTGGCCTGGATTGCATCCAGTTTACTGTCCATGTATGCATGCATGGACAGGATGCTCGCCTTCAGAATCTTTTCATTGTTGTCGAGGGCCGAGTCATCTAATCCTTCTAACGCAGCCTGGCCTGCCTCCCTGCCCTGTAGTCTAGCACTTTTATCTTTGATCTCTTTTTCTCTTTTAGTAGCCTGCCTAAGTTCCTCCTCTAACCTTAAGCGAATCCTCTCTACTTGCTGGAGCTCCATCTGCTCCCGGGTGCGTGGAGGCGGTGAAATGAACTGCGAGCCCGCCATTTGACTAGTGCCAACCCCTGACGTACTGGAGATTGACTATGAACTGGTAGGCATGCCTAGCCCTTGACCAGTTGAGTTCGCAGCAGTTGCTGCGGAAGTAGCATTACTCATTGCTACTGCCCAAGCGACTGTTGCTTCTCTTGCAACCTCAAGATTACGGGCCCTAGCTTCAGCCCTTAATCTTCTCTCTTCTCCCGGTTGTAGAGTCTGGAACACTCTAGGAAATCTAAGGGATGATATCCGTGTTAATCTCCTATCGTCATTTGCACCTCCCTCACCCTCTGACCCACTCATAGGTTAGACGAACGCTGTCTGCACTAATGCCCTCGCTGGAACCTACCACAACGTGCGTCTGACCGGATCTAAAAATAAACAAATAAATAAATGTCCGGTGAGTTACCTAGCCTACTAGTCAAGACATCAACAACATCTACACAAACTGTACACATTGCCCAAGTCTTATTCTGATTAGTCTGCACAGGAGATTTGAGAAGAATTGACTATGGTAGATTACAGTCCTAACTCTAGTCTGTCTGTTAGGTGTCAGCAGTCGGTCAACCAACTAATCAAAATAAAACTAAGACTAATGTGAGCAGATGTATGCACAATGGATATGTCAGTGATGTACAGTTGAGTTCACAATTGGAATCCCCTTCCCCTGTATCCAACGTACATGTGAGCATCATCAAGCTACGGTGTTTAAGGTGTGCAACCACGGCCCACCCCTGTGCCCAAGAAGTATGCTTATGACCAGCCTGCCCCTTTGTTTACCCTCGCGTGCAACGAGCCTTACGTCTGAATGATCTGGCTGATCAGGAGGGATTTAAGGAGAGCCCCCATCTCCTCAGGAATTATTTGACGTCGCAATCAAGACGACGATCACATCCAGTGGACAGTTCAGACCCCAACCAGAAATGTTTATGGACGGTCTGGGAGCGTCTCAATAGGACAAGTCAGTCCGCACACCCTTTCTATCAGCGCAGCAAAGAGCCTCAATGGACAAAGCAGCCATCGCATGCGTGTACTAATCCCATTGGGTTGGCATCGTGACCGTGACCCACGTGCTTCGACCAGGGCCCTTCAGAGGCACCGCCCTCTCCTGCCAGATGCGCCACCGGGAAGAAGGTTGTCTCTCAAGATAGAGTGCACACGACTCCTCACCAAAGAGAGGACACTCAAGTTGGACTCACTTCCTCACGGTAAGAAGAGATTGAGAGGGTAGATAAGGAATGGGAACAACATACCTGGAGATAGCTGCCCCCAACCACAAATTTCTCACCAATTGGGCTGATGTGCATTTCGATGACCGGTCAATAACCTCGGTACCACCCACAATGCAATGTAGTGCCACCTCAGCCAGAATGCCGCGTCAGCATACTCTCATCATCATGCATACACCCGCTGTCGCCACAGCTCCCACACTGTCGCCACAGCCTTCCAGCGGTCGGCCTCTCTACCTAGGCCCCGCTAATCAACCAGCGCAAAGTATCCTTACTGCACATGAAGCATCGTCAGCGCACCAAGTCACAATGTCGCCGGTGCCAGGTATGCGGCGATCACAACCAGCTCCGATACCAAATTGCAAGGAATATGAGTGTGAGCAATATACATAAAACCAAGTTGCGAAATCACACAGCTGAGCAAGAAGTAGTATCCCAAGTAGAGAGTACAAATGCACCGAGAAAACCATCCATAAAGAGCAATACAATGAAGTATTGAGCCAATGTCCAAGCCCGTAGGCCACACCAACACAGTATCCAGAGTCGCTCTCTCTGTCTGGCGCACAGCGCCCAGCCTACTCTACCATACTATCCTACTCTACAGCT